TCAAACTTTCAACAAAAAACAATTTTTTAGTTGTTTAACTTAAGTATTATTTGTTTTATTTGTTTGAGAAAATATAAAGTTTTCGCAACATTATGCAAACATCTTGTTTGTGCTACTGGAGACAAAAATATGAAATACTTAACAATATACTCGTAAAGTAAAGTATTTAACAAAGGGTCGGGCTGAAGGCGGTCAAAGATATATGTTGCTTTCGGGCATACTTTTGATGTTCTTTTCAATACAATGTTGTTTCAAAATTCATATGATGTTTAAAAAGGGTATTCTGTATTAGAAATAATGAATGTACCATACCTTCATGCCCATTCTGTAACAAGTTGTATTAGTACCAAATTACTATAATACCTGCCGGAAACAAATGTGCTGTAGGATATTAACGCCAATTTAATCACCAATCCTTTGTGCTCATACTGATGACATGACAGATATATGCACCAGTATCTACAAACAGCGTTTACATGAATAATGAGCTGATTTAATACGGTCAAGCGTCTATTAAAACTATCATTAAACGCTGTAATTTTAACTAAATAACTCGCGACTGACATGTTGCAAGTTTGTGTTGTGATTTTTAAAGAATGTTTGGTGTAATGTAATAATTATGTGCCTGAACAAAACTAAAATTAGTAGAATACTTCATGTTAGTTTATTGATCGATTGATATGAGAATGGATATGATAAATAGAACATATATCCAAAGAGAATTTATATCAGAAAAATAAATTTACATCAGGCATATTTAGCAATAGTTACTTTTTGTTGAAAGTATCATAGAGGAATTATTGATTTAAATGCTTAATATAATTTATTACATAGTTTAACGTCTGCCGGTGGTCAAATACCTACGTAATTCTGACTCATCATCATCATCATCTCAGCCAAAAGACGTTTACAGCTGGAGATAAGCCTCCCACAAAGCTCTACACAACAGCTAGCCGCATCCAACGGCTTCTCGCGATTCTGATTATATAAACTTCTTATTAATGATTACTTTAATTAAATTTACCAAAACAGCATAGTTGCGGATGTTTGCTTGCCTAACCGGAAACGATGTTTTTATTGAAGTGATAACTCGTAATAAAATATACTAGATATCTCATTAGTTTTACCAAAAGTCATCATAGCTTATTATTATTATTTACAAATATATATAATAAGATATTTGTCACAAATATGTGTCTAAGGAAGAAAATGTAACTAGCTACCAAATACAGGGCCGCCTCTAATCCCAGCTTTCAATATTACTGACTAAACATTGAAATATGGTAACCCTATTTAGTTGCCTACACAGGTTCAATACGATTGTGATGTTGCACAGGGTGTAATCCTCTAAGCGTCCCGCCCAGTCTGTGTGGATCGCATAACAGATCTACGACCTAAAAATACCTTTTTATTCATTCCATAAGCTGCTTGCTTTGTCATATCTTTCAGTTTAAGACTTTCATAGAATTGTAGTATTGTGTGAATGTGCAAAAGCGTTAAACATTTGTACGCTTTGAACTGGTTTTTTAAGATTTAAATAGCTGAGAAATAAAATGTGCAGGTAAATTTTACCTAATACTTACTACAAAATTAAATATTTTACTAAAAGAAACATCTTTGGATATCGATTCGATATAAACAATTGATGATTTAGCTGGGTGAAAATATTACACGAATTAAAATTTACTATAATACACGCCGGCAGAATTAGCGGAATACAAATAAATAACAGTTTAAAAAAACTAAAATTAAAAACACGCACCCCACGCTTTTTTTTTACAATAATGTACATTCATTTTTTTTTACACTGTACTTAATCAAACTTAATCAAATTTACACTATTCTTAATCCAAATTTATTAAACTTTATTTTCTGTTTTTTAGTTGGATTTTCTATAAAAGCGTGTTTTTAATTTTAGTTTTTTTAAACTATTATTTATTTTTCATTTTTTAGTTAATTTTTTTGTGTTTTGGTTTGTTGTTGTTTTTTCTAGTAGTCTAGTAGTCTGGAACTGCACGCATGCGTAGTTCGCGCACTAGCTCTGTCTCTCTTACTCGCATGCAAAGGATGCGGAAAGAAATTAATTAATCCTGGCGAATCTAATTAGGATAATCGGATATTTTGATCAGATTATTGCATTGTCATCGACCTTTGACAGGTGTGCAAAGTTTGAATCAAATCTGATCGTTCAAAGTAGGGCAAAATCGAGCTCAAAGGAGTCGGTTACATACAAACAAACAAACAAACATACAGGTGAAGCTAATAAAAGCGTGTTAAAAAAGGAAGAACTTATGTTTTTTTTTTTCGTAACACTGGCGGTTACATTACTTTTTTTTTATTTTAGGTCTAATTTGAAAACGAAACATTACCTTAGTCATTTTTAAAAAATCGTTTGTTTTAATTTTTCATTCATAAATCTCTATCCACTGCACGACAGAAAATTTCATTAGAAAAACATTGTATTGCAGTTTTATGAGGCTTTAATGTTTATCATCATCATTCAAATCATTAGGGCAGATGAAATGAGAAGAAATGGTCCATCTTACAGATCGATTGCTACAAGACTTCGTCGTTCGTTATCAACGATCTATCGTAGCATCCAACGGTACAGATTGACGTATTCTCTAGTGAAAAGGAGAGGACAAGGCAGGAAAAGGTGTACTTCAAGGAGAGATGACCGTTTTCTACAACGTCAAGTTCATCGGAACACGAGACTAACAACGGTGCAGGCCCGAAATGTATTGGAGGAGGTTCGAGGAGTAAGAGTGAGTGAGCGGACAGTTCAGACGTTGGTATAGGTTGATTTGTGCCCGCCAAAGCACTAAAACTTGAAAGATACCACCGCACAAACCGACTATACTTTGCTCGTGAACATCGTCATTGGGACGAGTGGGGCCAGGTTCTCTTCATTGATGAATGCAGTTTTCTGTTAAATCAGATATATGGAAGGCAGCGAGTATGGAGACGCTAAGGAGAGCGTTATATACAGTCTAATTTTGAAAATACAGTGGCATATGGCGGCGGCTCAATTATGGTCTGGGGAGGGATATGTTTAGGAGCTGAGTTGGTGGTAGTCGACGGTGGGAAATGACTGCTGATCAGTATATCAGAGAGATTTTAGAAGAACATGTGCCATTTGCCCACTTTATTGGCAACGACTTCATTCTAATGCAGGATAATGCTGGGGCTCACAGTGCTCGCTCAGTACAGGCATACCTAAACCATGTTGGTGTAACGGTGATGGAGTGGCCAGCACGGTCCCCGTATATGAATCCAATTGAACACGTTTGGGACTTGCTAAAAACGACTGTCAAATGAAGAATGCCACCTTCCAACAATCTGGACGACTTGCGAAACGCGTTACTTGAAGAATGGCAGAGATTGCTCCAAGAAATCATTGACAACATCTACCGCAGCATACACAGAAGGATGGAAACCATAATCAGAGCACGGGTCCCCCGATATAAAAAAAAAACATTTAATTAATTGTCACAAAATCTTAAAGTTTTAATAATATTTTTGTGTTCCGCTAATTATGTGTGTGTATTTATGCAGAATAAAATCCAAAATTGAAATTGATAGAAAACTACTGCTTTTTGAAATACTAATATTCCAGATACTCGTATCCTAACTGTTTTCTAACTATTTAAAATAAATACATAAGTCCTATACACTAGAATATATTGTATAGTAGTAGCATACGATACGTCAAATAAAGTATACGAGTGATTAAAACAAGAAGTTGGAAAAAAAACTCTGCAGCTTTTTAAGAAGACAAGATCTTTGTGACGTGGCTTTTATTTGCGTGGAGAAAAATATATTTGAAAAATAATTTGAAATCCGGATCTAAAAACACGCCTAAGCGATCATTTATCCGTTCACAAGTATTTGTGGAACCGTAGAGGCAGGGATGAGTCGTCATAGAGACCAACTGGATCCCATTGAAAAGATTTACCTTTATTTGATATTGTCAGTTGAATAGTTTATCCTTCAAACTCGAACTAAGAGCTCTTTTCGATATAAATCTCATTTTACTTTCAGGATTCTATTCAAAAATGATAAAAGACACCTCTACTAACGTGGTACGCGCCCGCCTCATTTGTCGAGTACAAATATGCTAGACTGGATATTATATTTTCACATTAGTAAACGTGACGTTTATAAAGAATGTAACTCTCGTAAATATTTATGTATATGAAAATATGACCACAAAAATAGATTAAAGTATTTCAGGACAATAACTTTTGTATGAATGAATTAAACAGTTGATTTAAACACGGAAAGAACAATAAGTTACACGTAATCGTACTTGTAGCATAAATCCAATCGAAGCACAGGATATATTATCATCCCCCTAACTAATTAACATTATACAACCTAACGAAAAAAGTGACGTGAGAAATCCCACTCAAATTAGCTGTTGTTTTCTCTTCCATTTGATAAAACAAACGAGAAAAATATAATCGAAACACCATCTCAAATCCTCCAGTTCTCAAAGTCACTTAAATCAAGTTGTAGAAAATTGAGATATTTCATTACTGCGAAAAGGGATTGAAAGAAAAAACATTGAAAACAATCATCGTATCCTGACACTAAGCTAAGTGAAGGCGCAAGGCAAATATGAAAAGAAACAAATTACCTATTTCTATCTGGCTAATTGTCGACAGATCAAAAATAAGGGGGCACGTAAATCCGAGTCGGTATTTTTTTACGGTAACAAGCTAAAAGGGAGTGGGCTAAAGGGGGTGGGCTGTAGCCGCGAGCGCCATTCGCAATTATTGTTATTACAAAGAGTTTGCTGCTGAGCCGGCTCACGACTAGATTTAAAAAAAAATACTTTTGCAATGTCTAATTGCATACGCGGTATTCGTAATTACGATACGTTAGAGATATTAAATCCTAAGCAATACTCATATACGGGTTTGTAAATTAAAAGCAAAGTAAAATTCTTTACGAAGCGAAATAAACAACGAAGCAAATGCTAATTAATTAAGACTTACCGATGAAAACGAAAATCTGGTGGTGCGCGTAGCGCAGCAACATCGATATAGACACCGTCTGTAACAAGAACAGGATTTTAGCAGAAACATTAATAAAATGTTTTATAAAAATAATTTTTGAACTATTAGAATCTAAATTTATTGTCAATACAAATTTTACTTATAACTTTAAATGCAATTATTAATAACTGGCATGCATCGGAAATAAAATTAAAATTAGTATTCCTATCACAATCCTCCGTAAACTATGTATAAATTTTTAACGAAATTAATGATAATAGACTATTATTATTTTTGCTTTCGGTTAGGTGATTCAAGGAACTTGATCAAAATACCATAGCAACTTTATGAAATTACTGTATTGCTAACGGACCTTATTAGTTGTGCAAAGTTTATTAAATAATATAATATTCAAAATTAGTTGAAAGATTCCTTGACATTGATATAGGAGTCTTTTTAAAAATCACTAGAAATCGTGAAGTATCATCATTATCATCAGCTTATCGCAGTCCACTGCTGGACATAAGCCTCTCCCATTGCACGATACTTCGATCGATTTTGGGGTCCTCGCATCCAGCTCCTGCCCGCTATCCTGCGCAAATCGTCACTCCACCTGGCCTGTGGGCGTCCTACACTACGTTTGCCGAGACGCGGTCTCCACTCAAGAACTCGTTTTCCCCAACGGTTGTCGGTTCTGCGGGTAATATAGCCAGCCCACTGCCACTTCAGGTTGCTGATCCGGTATGTATACGTGGTGCAATCCATACCACCTCTGATAACTTAGAGTGGTCAGTAGACCATCAATCTATAAGCAAATTCTTTCCTCTCCAAGTCTAGTCACAACACTCGGTTTTCATTCTTACTTATATCTATATTTTTCTTTATTAGTAATCCTCTAATTTTAAATTGCTTACTTTTGCTGTATTAGAAATCAATTTTTTTTTAGAGAACTGAAAGTGAAATGCTTAGTCATTTTAGGATAATGGACTAAAATGTTTTGTTATATAGGGTTTACTCGTGTTATAACTCTGAGACATACAATTTCTTTCAATAGATATAAAATGTAGTAAGAAAAAAGGTCGTTCCCTTGAAGAAAAGATAATAATAACTATCACGTAATATGGTCCGTCGGGAAAGTGTTTATGTATTTTTATTATTATTGTATTTTAAAAAAAAAAAACAATTTTTTAATCGGCTATTGCGATCGACATACATTTCGCCATGTACTAATGTATATGTTATATTCACTACAGATTTTCTGGTTTGATATAAAATTAATGAATATAGTAAATAACAACTTAGGAGAATGATACCGACCTACTTTTAACTTGTTCAGTTAAAAAGTAGGTAGGTTTATTGAAATGGATTTACTACTCATATAAATTGTCAGTTTAATGCGAACCTGATCTCTTTTCCTGTTTTTTTTTTTACTTTTTGAATTTATTAAGTTATAGAGATCGTTGTATACGATCAGTCAATTTTACATACATTTTAATCCACCACTAAAGTTCAAATGACTGTAAAATTTTGTTGTTTCGACAGAACGGAACTTTCAATAAAACTCCGGGTAAAATCTAAAAATACCAATACCAAGCACCTTTGAATCGTACACAACAATGTTACTGCATAAGGTAACATTTAGGAGGGCCGATCCTACTGTTACTTAAATGGATTCAATCTGCACTAAGCGTTTCGTTAATGAAATTCAATCGCGGCAAAGCGATGCGGGGAGCAAATGATGTGGCGAAAAGATTGATAGCGGCCTCGCAGGGACGCCATCAGAACTACCTTTAGGTATAAAGCAACGCATGCCACTAACTTGGTCATCTGTTAGAGAAATACAGTAGCCAAAACAATGAAAAAAAAGGCAAACATAACGACGAACCAAGAAGAAATTGGATAGCTATAGAAGGTTTCTCATCTCAAGCCAGTCGCCGTATCGATTAAAATAATATTACACATACATTACTCGTACATTAACATGTTAAGCCGAAACTTTACCGAAATATGCATTGTTTGTATTAAATCCGGATAATTCGCGAAAATAATACTTCATCATACATCATTGTGAGGCTTGACCATTTTTAGATATTATACTGTACTATAATTCATACAACAAAAAAACAGGTAAATCGTCGATTCACACCACGGTGCGAATCACACACGGACGCTTTTTGAAGACTCTACCAAATCTACTACGCCAACAAAAAAGATATAATTACGTCGATTTACACCATGGTCCCAAACCTTCAATCGTAAACGGCTTGTGGTGTCTATCGACGTTTGTACTCAAAAAATACTACCAATCCTAAAAGAAACCCTAAAATATTATAAAGCTTTCAGGCCTAATTGGGACATTACACGCGTATCAATGTGCAAGTGGGCTACTGCGCCACAGCGCCGTCATCCGTAAAGCGACTTAATTATTATTCATAAGAGGCACGGTTAGTAAAAGGTTTTAAAACTATTTTGGTCCATGTCCGGTAGGTATCGGTACAGTGTGATCAGGCGCAATAGACCGTGCGTTACAGTATCCGCAGCGCAATGGGCCGGACGTAATCCACCCACCGGCGAGCTGTTAGTTTTTACGGTGGCTGTAAACTAAAGAACACGCGCTGCATCGATCGTATACCGCCGTTAATTAATATTAAAGGATATAGTGGTTAATACTCAGGCTTCTAAATACATACATAATTTAGATAAATTACACATAATATCATTGTGAACGTAAACAAATCCTGGGTAAGAATCGAACCCACGACCTCCGGCTTCGCAGTCACGGTCACTAACCACTAGACCAACAGGCCCACATGCAGATTTTGCCAATCAATTCAGGCATCCCACGAGAACAGTTTTTCGGGACGAACAATACACTAATTCGTTTACTGTACCGCGTACAATCCGTATGTTAAAAATCATGATGGAGTCGTTGAGGAGTGAAAACAACAAACTCACTCTCGCAGTTACAACATTAGCCAAACAAAAAAAGATTGCAAATTTATTTTCTTTTCAGTTTTCACAGATTTCTTTCTTATATATTATCTGTGATTACGTACACACAAGCATGGATTTGTCTTGTCTAAGGAATGGCTATTACTATATTATTATATACGGAACCGGTATTTTATAACTGTCGGAATGATATTCACTGTCGCAAATAACTAACTACCGTATATACATATATAAAGGGTACTTAGTTATTTCCGCTAGTGTAGCTCTAATCTCTAGTATAACTATAATAAATTGATATCTCGAATACAGAATATCCCAATCTACTTTGAGCTTTGACAACGCGTATCATGTGAAACCCAATATATGTTAGGCAATACATGCGGAGTTTGACAATTGATTAATGCAATTTCTCTAGCTCCTGACGTCGACAGTGAAATTAGTTCCTGTAACTTATATAGCATGGCCTGTCAGGTACAATACTGTTATCATATGACAGCACACTACATAACACTGACTAATAACGCAAAATCAATAATATTATCCGGTTGCAATCCGGTTTGAAATATGAATCAAATTTATTGAATATCCAGTATATTCAATAAATTAGATAAACACACACAACTGATATAAACAGCAATGTTAATTTCGAATCATTATTGAGTCCTACTTATAAGAGATCATATTGATAATAGTATAGGTATACACTGTAAAATTTGTATACCTATAGATTCGAACTAGCGCTGGTTGGTATAAAATAATTAAATAAATACTTTGAATTTCTTTAACCAACTATAATGATGATTAAGTATGTATATATTTTATTACTAATTATACCATTTTTTTGCGGATGGAAACCCCCTCGGGCCGTCACCCCACCGGGGCTTGCGGCGAGGGGGTGTGTCGGAATCAGACTAACTAAAACCACACTGTGTGCCACTCTGCGCCTGAAATAGGAGGGATCCCGGCAACTGCTGCTATTAAGACATCCGGACTCATTACTTAAGATACCTAAACAACAAACGTCAGGCTTAACTTAAAAAAATGTACTTAAAAATATTTATTTAAAAGAGTTTAGAAATCATAAACGTAACTTTCTAAAGCTTAAATTATAGCTCAGGCTTTATATAAGCTACTGATATGAAATTGCTAATTTTAGTTTTTGCAATTCCACCCCTATAGAAAATGTATAGTATTAAGTAGCTTTTTCGTTTTTTAGGGGACTTCCTAGAAAAAATAAAAAAGGCGGTACCGATCTCCTTTGAGGTGGCGAGTCTCCTGGCCGGAACTTCACCGTGGGATCTGGAGGCGAGAGTGCAAGGGCTCTGTATCAGTGGCACAAGGAGACGCGGGAGTTGGGCCGGAGTCCTGAGACTCGAGAAATGGATGACCGGAAATCCCAACACCGCCGGGTCCTCGTAGGGGAGTGGAAGGAACGACTTGGGCAACCGGGCGCCGGACACACCGTCATCGCGTAAGAACCCTTATGGAGGATTGGCTCGAGGGGCATCACGGGACCCTCTCATACCGACTGACGATCCCCGAAACATCCTTTCCCAGTGATCACCTGTGTCTGATCCGCAAGGAGCCAACGCCTGAGTGCCACCACTGCGATGGTCGGACCGTGGACACGGCGCTCCACACGCTGGCAGAATGCCCGGCGTGGGTGGAGCAGAGGCGAGACCTCGTGGCGGCCATCTGAGTGGGAGTTCTCTCGCTCGATAACCTGATTGCGGATATCGTGCGGAGCGAGAGTGCGTGGAACTCTGCCGTCTCCTGCGAGCAAGTTATGCACGCGAAGGAGATGGCGGAGCGGGACCGGTTTAGAACTCTCCCGGCCCGCCAGGCTCGGTAACAGGCCAGGTACCGCAGACGACTCAGGCGCCGGCAGTCGCAGAACGACCTCCGTCCTCCATAAGAGCAGGCCTGGGGGTGACGGGTAAGGCCATCTGTCACCCTTGCCAAGCGCGCGCGCCCTTCCGGGAGCACAGAGGGAAAATGGGGGTTCCCACACAGGTTGGGTCGTCTACCCGCCGTAGATGGCCCGAGGTACGTCGGGGCACCAGGGATTTCCTTTCTAAGGTACACGTGGTTCCCAGACTACTAGTA